CAGAAGAAGGAAAGGAAAGCTGGGGGTGGGTTGGAGGAAAATAACTGGCAGAAGGCCTTCCATAGATTCACCCACAGTCCCCAGGCAGCTTCTCTGCCACTAAGATCTCTTCCCCTTCCGTTTCTCCCCCTTTTTTCCACCCACTCTGAGGGCTTCTTGTGATGAGATCTAAAAGCTGTTTTACTTACAATTGTCTTATCTTACCTATCTTTTGCCCTCAAAGGGAGGAGACTGTGCACAAACATCGAGGGCACTGCCAAGTCTGGTGGAGAGGGAAGGAGGTCAGAAAATAAATGAGAGGAAAATTAGGAGGAAGTATTGAAAGAAACCTCTGGGAGGGAGAAAAGGAAGGAAAAGGGGAGGAGAAGAGGTAAAAGTGAAGGAAAGAGGTTGAGTGCAGTGGTTATTCCTGTAATCTCAGCACTTTGGGAGGATCACTTGAGGCCAGGAGTTCAAGACCAGCCTGGGCAACATGGCAAAACCCCATCTCTACAAAAAATACAAAAATTAGTGGGACATGGTGGTGCACTCCTATAGTCCCAGCTACTTGGGAGGCTGAGGTGGGAGGATCAAATTAAAAAGAAGAAAGAAAAAGAAAGGGCAGAATGAAATAGTAGAAATGGGAGGGAAAAACAGGAAGAGAAATCGTGGGAGAAGACCAGAGCCTGGGCAAACAAACATGCAAGTGGAGACATAGTGTTTTCTAGGACAACAAACAGTTCAGTTTGGCTAGAGCTAAGAGTGTGGTAGGTAGACAAAATTAGAATCAGGTTGTAGAAGTTCTTGAATGCCAGGTTAATGACTTTGAACTTTCTATTTCTTTCTTTTTTTTTTTTTTTTTGAGTCGGAGTTTCACTCTTGTTACCCAGGCTGGAGTGCAATGGCGCCATCTCGGCTCACTGCAACCTCCGCCTCCTGGGTTCAGGCAATTCTCCTGCCTCAGCCTCCTGAGTAGCTGGGATTACAGGCACGCGGCACCATGCCCAGCTAATTTTTTGTGTTTTTAGTAGAGATGGAGTTTCACCATGTTGACCAGGATGGTCTGGATCTCTTGACCTTGTGATCCACCTGTCTCGGCCTCCCAAAGTGCTGGGATTACAGGCTTGGGCCACCGTGCCTGGCCTGAACTTTATATTTCTTATTTTCTTCTGCTCAAATCCCCTGTGATAAGTTATTTTATTTTTTTTGGAGTAGGTACCAGGCAAATTTCTGGGTGTAATCCAGAGGAGCATTTTTATTCATCCATCCATTCAACAAGGTACTATGTCTTGTCCAACTTGTATCCCTAGAATATAGCACAACATCTGCACATAAGACAGAAAGTAAGTGCTTGTTAAATTGAGCATTTAGTCTGAGTACAGTGGCTTATGCCGGTAATCCCAGCACTTCAGGAGGCCAAGGCGGGTGGATCACCAGAGGTCAGGAGTTCAAGACCAGCCTGGCCAATATGGCGAAACCCTGTCTCTACTAAAATTACAAAAATGAGCCAGGTCTGGTAACACACTTCTGTAATCCCAACTACTAGGGAGGCTGAGGCAGGAGAATCTCTAGAACCCAGGAGGCAGAGATTGCAGTGAGCTGAGATCATGCCATTGCACTCCAGTCTCAGCAACAGAGTGAGACTCCATCTCAAAAAAAAATTATTTTTTAGCATTTGGAGAAAGCAGTAGTTGAGACATTCTCACGGAGAATGTAAGAATAATCATATTAAGGCCAGGCACAGCGGCTCACGACTGTAATCCCAGCACTTTGGGAGGACAAGGTGGGCGGATCATTAGGTCAAGAGATTGAGACCACCCTGGCCAACATGGTGAAACCCCATCTCTACTAAAAATACAAAAATTAGCTGGTCGTGGTGGCTCACGCCTGTAGTTCCAGCTACTTGGGAGGCTGGGGCAGGGGAATTATTTGAACCTGGGAGGCGGAGAGTGCAGCGAGCCGAGATCACGCCACTGCACTCCAGCCTGGCAACAGAGAGACTCCCTCTCAAAAGAAAAAAAAAAAAAAAAAAGAATAATCATATTAAAAAGTAAAAAGTGCTAGGCACCGAGAGAGAGGCCCAGATAAGGGAGATCAGTGGAGAGTGAGACAGCCTTCCCTGCTACCTTTAGTAGAAAAGTCCCAAAGAAGATTACGATGTGGCAATCTTAGCCACATGAATTAATCCTTGTGGCCTGAAAGATAACATTCCGTTGGAGGATATTGGGTTCTGTCTGCTGAGTGAAGGGCAAAGAGTTCTCCAAAGAAAAGGGAGGGATTATTACTGGAAGAAGGGAAATTAAAACTGTCATGTCCGCCACAATCCACTGTAGTGGAACAAGGTGAGGCATGTATAGGGAACAGTGAGAAGAATTAGGAGCTGTTCAAGACTGATAGCAGTTAAAAATAGAGCTACAGGCTAGGTGTGGTGGCTCATGCCTATAATTCCAGCATTTTGGGAAGCTGAGGTGGGAGAGTTGCTTGACCCCAGGAGTTTGAAACCAGCCTGGGCAACATAGTGAGAACCTGTCTCTATGAAAAATAGAATACTAGCCAGGCATGGTTGGGTGTGGTGGCTCACGCCTGTGATCCCAGCACTTTGGCAGGCCAAGGTGGGTGGATCACCTGAGGTCAGGATTTCGAGACCAGCCTGGCCAACATAGTAAGACCCCGCTTCCCCCGCCCATCTCTACTAAAAATTAAAAAATAGCCAGGCGTGGTGGCACATACCTGTAAAAAAAAAAAAAAAAGAAAAGAAAAGAAAGAGAGGTGTACTGTGGAAGCCTCAAATACCTAGCTGTGGAGTTTGTATGGAATGGACCAGAGGCCAGAAGACCAGGACTCATGGGAAATTGTTCTGGCATGTCCTCTGGCAAAACCTAAGCACAAGATCCTTCACCTACATCAATGTGTTTTCCACTGAAACTTAGTTTTTTTTTTTGATTGTTGTTCTTCCCATTCTAGGTCAGAGGACTCAAAAAGATGAAAGGTCACACCTCTGTCAAGAGACACTGTCCTTTTCTGGTCAAGTCTCTTTTCTTCTGTTAGGGCTGCAACCTCTTCACTTGGGAAATGAATGGTCCTGTGATTTACAAGCACAGGTAAGCACCTGCAAAGAGCTTTGAAGATTGATGGGCAGAGTTTCCAGCTCAATTTCTGGGGAGTGGCAGTATCAGCAGCACCCTCTCCCTGGCTCTGACATAATGATGGGAGAAGCAGCTCCAAGGCATCCTGCTTTTGAGCAGGAGGTGGCCCAGGCTGTAGCCTAGAGTCAACTCTCTCCTCATCCCAAATATCTCCACAAAGGAAGACTCTGTAGCATAGCCTAAGAGGGAGCATAAGACTTTGAATCAGGAATCCCTGGTCTTGGTCCTCAGTTGTGCTTCTTCCTAGCTCTGGTATTTTGAATAAGTTACGTAAATTACCTGTGCCTATTTCCTTGTATATAAAATGTGGGTTGTAATACTAATTTCCTGGACTCATGAGAGTAGAGTAAGCTAAAGCTAAAAAAAAAAGCACTTGGCACAGTGCCATACAAGCCACAGGCACTCAACAATGTGAATTTACATTCATTTTTTAAGGAATAGAGTCCCTAATGGACTAGTGTGATATATTAAATTAAAAAAAAAAAAAAGGCTGGGTGTGGTGGCTTACGCCTGTAATCCAAGCACTTTGGAGGCCAAGGCAGGTGGATCACCTGAGGTTGGGAGTTCAAGACCAGCCTGACCAACATGGTGAAACCCCGTCTTTAAAAAAAAAAAAAGAAATAAAGTACTGTACTGTTAGAGGTAGAGAGGTGTTAGATATTCCTAGTCCAATCCTCTCATCTACAGTGGTGAAAGGACTCCCAGGAAGGTTTTCTCTTAACTAATCTAATTCTCTTCTGTCACAATATCTGCTGATTCTATTCTCAACTAGAAGCAGAGAACTGAGCTCTTCCTTCTATGCTTAGCTACATAAATCCTATATGAGTTCTGTACCTGATCAGAAAAGGGTATTTTGGTTCCTCCATTTTTTCCCCCAAGAACATTTGCCTGTCATTTGCTCTTTGCTCTGCTAAAGGTGAAGACAATTAGTGTACTATACTCAAAGTGATCACGAATATGTGGGAAGATCATGAGCAACACAGTATAGGTGAATCCTAAATAAATCCAGCAGTCCTGGAATATCTGAAGGAATTTGCTCCCAATTATTCTTAGATAAGCTACGAAATGAATACAACTATTAGTTATTGTGTTTGTGTTTTTGTTTTTACTCTGCCTAATTTTTTAACTTTTTAAAAATTTCTATAATTATAGAGATGGGGTGCGGGGGGTGTCTCACTATGCTGCCCAGACAGGTCTCCAACTCCTGGGCTCAAATGATACTCTTGTCTTGACCTCCCAAAGTGCTGGTATTATAGGTGTGAACCACTATGCCCAGCTTCTGCTTAATTTTTATTACCCAGTTGGCAGGAGCTCCTGTTTCTTTAGCTTTAGTTTTTTTCTTGGATAAAATATACATAACATAAAATTTGCCATTTTTTTTTTTTTTTTTTTTTGAGACGGAGTTTCGCTCTTGTTACCCAGGCTGGAGTGTAATGGCGCGATCTCGGCTCACCGCAACCTCCGCCTCCTGGGCTCAGGCAATTCTCCTGCCTCAGCCTCCTGAGTAGCTGGGATTACAGGCACGCGCCACCACGCCCAGCTAGTTTTTTGTATTTTTTAGTAGAGACGGGGTTTCACCATGTTGACCAGGATGGTCTTGATCTCTCAACCTCGTGATCCACCCGCCTCGGCCTCCCAAAGTGCTGGGATTACAGGCTTGAGCCACCGCGCCCGGCCAAAATTTGCCATTTTAATATATATTTTTTGAGATGGAGTCTCACTTAGTCGCCAGGCTGGAGTGCAGTGGTGTGATCTTGGCTCACTGCAACCTCCACCTCCTGGGTATAAGGGATTCTCCTGCCTCAGCCTCCCGAATAGCTGGGACTACAGGCACACGCCACTATGCCCAGCTAATTTTTGTATTAAAAAAAAATTTTTTTTATAAGCACCAAGGTAAAGCAAAGCTCTAGTTGATGCAGGTGTGTTGTTTAGGTGTTGGTAGCACTGCCCTCACTATGCGCTCATTGGACAGTAGTGCAACCCCAAGAAAAGGATGATTAATTTTTTTTTTTTTTTTTTGAGACGGAGTCTTGCTCTGTCGCCAGAGCTGGAGTGCAGTGGCACGATCTTGGCTCACTGCAACTCTGTCTCCTGGATTCAAGCAATTCTCTTGCCTAAGCCTCCTGAGTAGCTGGGACTACAGGCGTGTGCCACCACACCCAGCTAATTTTTTTGTATTTTAGTAGAGACAGGGTTTCACCATGTTGGTCAGGACGGTCTTGATCTCCTGACCTTGTGATCCAACTGCCTTGGCCTCCCAAAGTGCTGGGATTACAGGCGTCAGCCACCGCGCTGGGTCTAATTTTTATATTTTTAATAGAGACGGGGTTTCACCATGTTGGCCAGGATGGTCTTGGTCTCTTGACCTCATGATCTGCCCACCTTGGCCTCCCAAAGTACTGGGATTACAGGTGTCAGCCACCAAGCCCGGCCCATTGTAACTATTCTTTTTTTTTTTTTGACAGATAAGCAGTTTCTTCCTTTCTTTCTTTTTCTCTTTTTTTTTTTTTTTTTTTTTTTTGAGACAAAGTCTTGCTCTGTCACCAGGCTGGAGTGCAGTGGCATGATTTTGGCTTACTGCAACCTCCACCTCCCAGGTTCAAGTGATTCTCCTGCTTCAGCCTCCCTAGTAGCTGGGGATTACAGGCACTTGCCACTAGGCCCAGCTAATTTTTGTATTTTTAGTAGAGACAGGGTTTCACCATGTTGGCCAGGATGGTCTTGATCTCTTGCCCTTACTGCAACAAAGTTTTATTTCTTGCCCCCAAATAATGCTTGAACCCAAAGGTACATAAAAATACCTTGTGATCTGCCCACCTTAGCCTCCCAAACTGCTGGGATTACAGGCGTGAGTCACTGTGCCAGGCCCATTTTAACTATTTTTAAGTATACAATTCAGTGACATTAAGTACATTCACAAAGTAGTGTAATCATCACCACTTCCTATTTCCAGAACTTTTTCTTTTCTTTTCTTTTTTTTTTTTTTTTAAAGATGGGGTTTCACCATGTTAGTCAGGCTGGTCTTGAACTCCCTACCTCAGGTGATCCGCCCACCTTGGCCTCCAAAGGGCTTGGATTACAGGCGTGAGCCACCACGCCCGACCCAGAACTTTTTCATCATCCCAAACAGAAACTCTGTACTCATTAAACAACATTCTCATTTTCCCCTTCCCTTGGCCTCTGGTAACCTCTATTTTGCTTTCTGTCTCTATGAATTTACTTATTCTAGATACTTCATATGAGTATGAGCGGAATCATATTATATATCTGTATTTGTTGTTATTGAGAGTCTTGCTCTGTTTCCCAAGATGGAGTACAATGGCAGGATCATAGCTCACTGCAGCCTCAACCTCCCAGGCTCAAGTGATCCTCCCACCTCAGCCTCCTGAGCAGCTAGGACTACAGGCACACACCACCACACCTGGCTAATTAAAAAAATTTTTTTGTAGAGACGCTGAAACAGGAAAGGTTCCCTTGTCCCTCTCACAGGGCGTGCAATGCGGGTATGGCTCGCTTCTTCAGTGCCCTGCTGCACAAACCTCTAGGGGAGCATACAGATGGGCAGGCTGTGGGGCTCTGACCCTACCACGGTGTCTAGGTGTGAATGTTTACAGCTGAAGCCCCAGTGGGCGTGTGTTGCAGGGAGCTCTTTTAGGTTGCCGTCTGTAGGTGGCTTGTGTTAACCAGCTCAATTAAACCCCCTTCCTTATCACAAGAACAGCGGGATTTTCTGTATCCTGGGGTTTCTTGCCTTGGTGTACCTGGAAGAATCGGATCATGTGGGCTTGGAGGATGATTGCAAGGTTTTATTTAGTAGAAGTCATTCTCAGCAGATAAGCCAGAAGGAAAATGGTTTTCCCCTGGAAATGTTCTCACCATGTTCACCAACACGACGAAACCCTGTCTCTACTAAAAATATTAAAAAACTTAGCTGGGCATAGTGGCAGGTGCCTGTAATCTCAGCCACTCTGGAGTCTGAGGAAGGAGAATTGCTTAAATCCAGGAGGTGGAGGTTGCAGTGAGCAGAGATGGTGCCATTGCACTCCAGCCTGGGTGACAGAGTGAAACTCCATCTCAACAACAACAAAAAGAAATATCTTTTTATTAATATCTTTGAGCTTGACTTAACTTTCATAAAACAAGAACTAGAACATTTCTCCAGTGTAGGTCTTTGATCCCAGAATTTCCTTTAGGGACAGACCCGTGACTACCTGGTCCTACCATGTCCCAGAGGAAATAACTTAGTGTCAACTCAAATCTTTCATTTCACATATTAGGAAACACAGGTCAGAAAAAGAAAAAAAAAAAATTGTTCCCAAATCACTCAGTGAATAAGAATCTCCCCTGAGTTACCAGTCCCCTCCCTCCAATGTCAATTTCTGACAGTTTCTCAATGGCAGTTTGGATCTCATGTGAGGAAGATAATTTGGGGGCCCCGGAAAACTTGCCTCACACTGGAGCTGCTTTGGGCTGATACTCTGAACTGACTCATTCCACTCTAAGATTTGCACTGGCCAGCTGGATGCAGTGGCTCACACCTGTAATCCCAGCACTTTGGGAGGCTGAGGCTGGCAGGTCACGAAGTCAGGAGTTCAAGACTAGCCTGGCCAACATGGCGAAACCCCATCTTTACTAAAAGTACAAAACTTAGCCAGGTGTAGTGGCAGGCTCCTGTAATGCCAGCTACTTCGGAGGTTAAGGCAGGAGAATCGCTTGAACCTGGGAGGTGGAGGTTGTAGTGAGCCAAGATGAAAAGATGAAGCCACTGTACTCCAGCCTGTGTGATGAGAGTGTGAGACTTCCTCTCAAAAAAAAAAAAAAAAAAAAAAAAAATTTGCACTGGCTTCTAAGATGGACCTATCCCTTCCTTCTCCATGCCCGCTGCCATGACCCTCTAAGATACTTCTCTCTATGGGGTCATCTACAGCATCCTCCTGCTGGCCTTCTGTTTCAACCAAAACCAGATACCACTACAGCACTCTTTCTTTATTAAACACTAAATTATTACAAAAATAGATATGTAAAAAAGCATAGTGCATACAACATTGCACTCATTAGGATGGCTGTAATAAAAGAGAGACAATGAGGGAGGATGAGGCGGGAGAATTGCTTGCAGGAGGTGGAGGCTGCAGTGAGCCAAGATCATGCCACTGCTCTTCAACCTGGGCAACAGAGAAAGACTCTTGTCTTAAGAGAGAGAGAGAGAGAGAGAGAGAGAGAGAGAGAATGTTCCCCTGTAATCCCAGCAATCTGGCAATCTGGGAGACCACAGTGGGCAGATGACTTGAGGTCAGTAGTTCCAGACCAGCCTGGCTAGCTTGGCAAAACCCTGTCTCTACTAAAAATACAAAAATTAGCAAAGTGTGGTGGCACATTCCTGTAATCCCAACTACTTGGGAGGCTGAGTCAGGAGAATTGCCTGAACCTGGAAGGCAGAGGTTGCAGTGAGCAGAGATTGAGCCACTGCCCTCCAGCATGGGTGACAGAGTGAGACTCTGTCTCAAAAAAAAAAAAAAAAAAAAAAGGTAGGGGGGTGGGTGGGTGTGGTGGCTCACACCTGTAATCCCAGCACTTTGAGAGGCCGAGCTGGGCGGATCACCTGAGGCCAAGAGTTTGAGACCAGCCTGGCCAACATGGCGAAACCCCATCTATAATAAAAATACAAAAAAAATTAGCTGGGAGTGGTGATGCTTGCCTGTAATCCCAGCTACTTGGGAGGCTGAGGCAGGAAAATCACTTGCACTCAGGAGGCAGAGGTTGCAGTGAGCCGAGATCGCCTCACTGCCCTCCAGCCTGGCAACAGAATGAGATTTCGTCTTAAAAAAAAAAGTTTACACCAAAACTTGTACACAAATGTTTATATTGTTATTATTTCTTTTTTAATTTTTAAATTTTCTCATCAGTTACAAGGAATATTGTTATTATTTCTGATAGCCAGCAGGTAGAAACAACCCAAATGTCCATCAACTGATGAATAGATAAACAAAATGTGGTATATCCATACGATGGACTATTATTCAGCCAGATAAAGGAATAACATACTGATTCATGCTACAACATGGATGAACCTTGAAAACCTTATGCTAAATGAAGGAAATCAATTACAAAATAACATACATTGTATGATTCACTTATATGAATCAATCAAGACAGAAAGTAGGTTAGTGGTTGCCAAGGGATAGTAGGAAGGGGGAATGGGGAATGACAGTTAATAGTGTGACTGCCCAGTGGGTTCACCTTGCCTGCTGCCAGGACAGAGCTGATTTATCAACAAAGGGAAATTGCAATAGAGAAAGACTAATTCACGCAGAGCTGATTGTGCAGGAGATCAGAGTTTTATTATTACTTAAATCAGTCTCCCCGAGCATTCAGGGAGCAGAGTTTTAAGGATGACTTGGGTGGGGGGAAGCCAGTGAGCCAGGAGTGCTGATTGGTCAGAGATGAAATCACAGGGAGTCAGAGCTGTCTTCTTGTGCTGAGTCAGTTCCTAGGTGGGGGGTCATAAGATCAGATGAGCCAGTTTATCAATCTGGGTGGTGCCAGCTGATCCATCAAGTGCAGGATCTGCAAAATATCTCAAGCACTGATCTTAGGAGCAGTTTAGGGAGGGTCAGAATCTTCTAGCCTCCAGGTGCATCACTCCTAAACCATAATCTCTTTTTTTTTTTTTTTTTCATTTCAGTACTGCCTAGGTCAAGAAATACAACATTGCTACCACCCAAATGCCAAAAGTGGGGGCTTCTAATTGTGAGCCCCAAATATCTGAGATAGGTCTCAGTCAATACAGGAAGTTAATTTGCCAAAATTAAGGATGCACACCCCTGACACGGCCTCAGGAGGTCTGACAGCGCGTGCCTAAGGTAGTCAGGGTATAGGTTGGTTTAATATGTATATATATATATATATATTTTTTTTTTAAGAAGAGCAACTGTCACAATTCCCATGTTGTTACAGGTACTTAGGCGTGATTGGAGGCAGGAGAGGGCTCTCCCCCACCA